CCGAAAGCAAATCGAGCCAAAACGTCCACACTTTAAGGTGCAAGACTCTTCTTTTATTTCAAGGACATTCATCTTTCTTTACTACAGTCCACTGTTTCCACGTATATATATGTACTGAAGCAATCAGTCACTCATTTCGCATTCTTCGGTAGACTTGTTTTATATGTATCAAAACGCTGTTAGTCTCACTTTATCAAAGAACGTCCCTTTCTAGCCTATTTCTGTCGCAGGTTCAGGTTGGATTTTTCGTCAATGATTTCAGAGTATGCTGGCAAATCTTAATGATCAAGCCCACTAGAAGATCTCATTATCTTCCCCTCCCCCTCTTGTCGGCTTTTAGGAGGGAATGACACAAATTGCGTGACCATACGCTTTTACGCATTTGAATGACACCTAAAGATCTTCCAATAATTATTTCGTAACTACCGTGTCCCGGATCCTAGGAAAACGGTAGATTTTTACATGGTCTGGTAAGACAAAGTAATTAGTTGACGGTTGCTAATTAGATCAGAATAGGCAGTGCATTGTGTAAAGACATTCCTACGAAAGTGCTTCTATTATCAGGAAAAAGATATTCCGGAAACAGTGTTCGCATTCGAAAGACAATCAAATTATCGTAAGTGAAGCTGACATCAAGTATTATTCTTTTTCGACTAAATACATCTCATATTTAGTATCTTCACTCCTAAACATCTTTGGGTAATACTTTCTCTACTGGTGAAAATTTTCGGTATGCCTAGTGAAAAATCATGTAATCACTGTCACTAATTTATTACATCTTTGATGAATATTTTAGTTTGATAATGGTGATTTTCCTTCTCTACATTAATGAATGATTAATCATTGAAACAATTTTTTATCAACTCGTCTCTATTGAATACACCGTTTATTACTGCTAAATACGGCTTGGTTTATTTAGTAGGTGATGAGCCTACCCCTGTGAAACTTACTAGTGGAGTCAAGATTCGACTGGATGGTCACCTGCTTGTTGAAATGTTTCTCATCCTACAGAAATAGACTAATAGAAGAGTTTGGATTGTGTTCAAGAGTAGCACTGAAAATATGTCATAAATTATAATCCACTACCACCACTCTTCGGGTTTAATGTAGTACAATTGGGAAAAAGTGTGAATCTCATTTTAATTCATAGAATACATGGACTTTGTCAATAGGCCAAGATATTATAAAATTGTTAGCATGAAGTTGTAACACTGTTGTAATTCACTGTGACGTATTTAATTTCACTTGTAGTGAGTGAATTCATCTGTCATTCATCACAGTCTTTTCACATGTGAAATTGATCACTGATATATATTTTTTTTCAAGAAACAGTGATTATATAGAGTATTTTGAGAAATTATCACTAAATTGCTCTTTTCAGTGTTTTTTGCGACAAAATACTCCAATGCTTTCTAGGCTATTTTAAGAGGTAAAAACTCATGTGACTTCAGTACCAAGCATACATATTTCTCCATAGCAGTTATTCTATACATCTTCGGTATATATATATATATATGCGTAGACTATTGTGTGGAATACAGTACTATGTAAGGATAATAGCAAAGAAAATTGGCATCTATCTAAATATATTAAAGTTTATTGTACACGACAGTTTAAACATAACCATGACATAGCAAAGTTTCATTGATAGTTATTTCTTTTTTTTTTAAATTTACGCCTAACCATTATGGTCCTATGACCATGCTTATGTGATTTCATTCACACGGCTTAAAACATTCAGTAAAACAAGTAACTAGTGTTAATCTTAGAATGTCGTTATAGGTCGTGTACAGCTGATCACACTAATGGCCAAGTAAAGTGAACTCATTCTGTTCTGTCCCGGTGTTTTCTGTTTACTGTCTTTACAAGTTTATAATGAAAGAATCTGTGTATTATGTATAAACCAAGAATTTGTTCAATACTGGCTAAAGTACTTTATAGCATTATTTCTCTGATACACTGTTTAATTTTAAGTAAAGTGGACAGAAAATTATTTTGACAATCACTGAAAATGTTGGTTTCAAGATTTCATCATGAACTAACATCGGTTAGAGGACGATTGAAAACCTGAGGATACTAGACACCTGTTTCATCCCAGTTTTAGACTCTTCAACAGCACGCACCCACGGGGGTTCGAGCCTAGGACCTTCTGATTACAAGGCAATCCGGCTCCCAATGGCTTACTGGTCTACGAGATCGCCTTGTGACCAGAAGGTTCTGGGTTCGAACCTCAATGGATGCGTACTGCTGAAGAGTCTAGAACTAGGGGGAAACAATTGTCCAGTACTCCCATGTTTTCCAATAGTCCTCTAACTGATGTTATTTCATGATGAAATCTTGAAATTACTGAAAGAATATTCCCGAAGTTCTGGAAGAATAGAAGGCAGTTAGTTGTGAGAAAGTATTGTACATAAGTAATTTTACACAAGCGTATTGACAAGATGCATACCAACGTTGTACACTGAATAATACAAGTCGTTCACCAAAGTCAGTGTTTGAATGGTTGTCATTAATAAGGAGAAGCTAAAAATGTAAAATATTTTAGGACGAGTGATTATATCTGTTGGTATTATACTTAACTAATAATATTGCAGTTGTTTTCTATTCCAATTCACTTAGTTAATTAACTGTCGCTGATCACGTTTAATGAGTGTGTATCACTTTAAGGTACAGACATATAACTTCCAGGATTAGATCTGTTTTATATAAATCCTAGGTAATAATTGAGTATTTAGAATATATTCCCATTATATTTCATCATCGGCATTTTTAATGATAATGTTCAGTGTATTTGCACCAATTGATGCATTTTTTTTGGACTGGACTACTTAGAAAAGCGTCTATTCAACTAATTTACCAAAAATAAAACCGTCAGTTGGCAAATGCTAACAATTTCTTCTTGTAAGAAATGGTTTTAACGTTTAGTTAAATGTTTGGGAAAAGCATTGAGAATCTGAGGAGCGAGAGGACAGGAGTACGTTAGACCGACAAGACTCTAGAAGATTTGGACTTCTCGGATGGTAGTCACTTTTTCACTCACCTAGTTAGGCAGCATCGTTTCAATTGCAAGCGGCACGGATAAAGACGTTAAAGCGACGATCAGAAAGACAGGATGTGACCTTCATTAATCTGGAATCAGTTTGAAAATCTACTGTAGCAGGCATAAAGAGAAAGACTTGGATTTTCAACACTAGTGTCTGCTGGCTTGTTACCAAAAGCATTTCGAACGAGCTCTGGACTTTTATCAACAGCTGTCTTCGCTGGATACTAGAGATCAGATGGGCAGTCAGAGAGAGGATTAGCAACAAGGAACTCTTGGGACGAACCAACCAAGTACCTGTTGCCCAACAAATATATCGAAGAAGATCAAGATGGATCGAACACACGCTGAGGGGACCGTTGAATGACATCTCGCGCCAGTTCCTCGAGTGGGACCCTTATGAGAAGAAACAACGAGTCGGGTGTCTAAGGGTAACATAAATGTTGTGCGTGGAGGAGATGAGAGCTTATGCGCAATCGTAGAGCCAGCCAACCAGGGCCGCAGAGAACAAGGTGAAATGAAAATGTGTTTTTGAAGCCCTACGTTCCACTCGGAACCGAAGGGAATAATAATTGTGAATCTGGAACAACACCTATATGTGTGCCAAAGAAGATGCTATACATGAATGTGGCGTTCAAAGGCGACCTGGCCGATATCCTAAAGCGAAGAATGTATAACGCCCTGAAAAGAACATTCTCTGCTGCTTCATTACTATTGGTATTCTCCAGCTGCCCATTGTTCTTCAACAACTCTAAGGATAAACTATTGCGTTGGACCACTTCTGTGGGTATCTACCAATTTACTTGCTCATGTTGAGCGAAATATTTCGGTCTAAGTATAAAACTTAGGCGCTGTGGTAGAGTATAACTTCATTATAGATCAGATTTTATTTCGATAAATCACACAGTGTTATACAGTAATATTAACTGATGACGTTTCAAGCTCATAATCATATCGTCATCAGTTAATATTACTGTATAACATTGTGTGATTTATCAAAATAAAATCTTATCTATAATGGAGATATATAGGTCGTTCGATGCGCGCTTTATCTAAAAGAGCCAAAGAACATTATCTCGCTTGGCTACGAAAAGGTAACAGTGGATGATCAATAAGGAGTGATATAATTGAACATATATTCAACACTGGGCACTCAATATGTAAGGAGAATTCATTCAGTCATCTAAAAAGTAAAAAGCCTCCTGAAAACGGTAAGTCTCCACATACTTTGCATTACCAAGGACTTAGCGATCCGGATAGAAAACTCAGATTTATGTACACAGAACAAACTTCTCCATTTCCTTCTTCTGCCTTGGATTTAATTTCATGTTCTACTATTTTGTTACTATTGCTTATTTTTTGGATTTTTGTATGACATTTTAGTAATTTATTTTGGACGCGTGTCTTCGTGCTCTTTTTTGGTTGTCTTTCATATTACGCAACCCTTATCAATGCTTACTGACCTTCATCTCCCCTAGTTACAATTTGATTATTCACCACTATTCGGGAACATTTTGTTGACGTAAACAATAACCCTAACTAATTTTTATTTTTGTTCGACAATCCCAATGTACACACAAGCACAAAATAATTAAATATAAATATGATTGTACAGCTAAGTGATAGAGAAAAGTGAGATAAGAGACTCTTCGCTGAATATTTTTTATTCTTATATTCAAATCTCGAACTGAGCCCATTTTCTGATCAATGGTTTACCAGCTGCATTGATCATCAAGTGCCTAGCGTATATTCATATTAAGAAGACTACATTAATGCAGAAAGACAGTACACAAAATATTTGAATGATGTATTTTCATTTGTTAAAGTTTTTGCTTCTCAATATTGAGTTAATTCGATCTGATATTACTTTCTTGAGAGTATGATTGCGTTATTATTATTATTGTCTGTCATTCGAACTAGTCGTATATTTGTCAATTTTTATACATATTGCATATTTCAGTATACATACACCTTTTGATGATAAAACTTCTAAGATATCAACACCACCACCGACGACAACATCAGCTGATGGTGATGGAAATGATGAAGTACTCAGTTCAGGTGCTTGTGATTCTGAAGTGAATGATGCAACGTATGATGATGGTCGGCCAGGTGTAAAAGTACGCGCGCTATATGATTATGTTGGACAAGAGGATGATGAAATCAGTTTTGTTGCAGGTAGGCCGTGTATATTCTCCGTTATTAACACTATCTATCTCTGTTGACACATTAAGTCTAAGTTTTGTTATTTGAACTTTATTGAAATATACGTTATTCTGAGCGTTGTATCAGTCACCTTATAGTTAAGATTCTCACCCACCCACCAACCCCCCAATTTCATGGAAATCACTAAGAATCGTACTGCATTGAATAGGAATTCTGTGCTGACCTTGTATTAATTTGTTCGCATATAGTAAGACAATTAAGTAAAAAGAAACACAGAAGTGTACAGAAATGGATAAGTCCAAGAGACCAGGTATAGAGAAAGGAAGAGAAATGTCATGATAAGCGACTCGCGGAGAGTCTCCAATCAGTGATTCTTAATTAGCATTCGGTAACTTCAAGTCTATGTCTGCATATTTATTTATTTTGAAACCACACAGTATTTTTGATACAAGTATGGAATTTTCAGCATGTGATATCGGTAGCCCAAATTTTGCAGGCCGACCAAATTGATATCAGGTGTGCGTCAGTAGGGGATCGAACCCCGGACCATTTGCATGGTCGGTGAGAGTCCTAACCATTGTGTCACCGACGCACTGTGGCTCCAACCAAAAGTCAATGTCTGGTGTGACCAGTCCTGATACCTTCAAATAAACTCATCAAAGAAAAAATTGGTTCGATATATATATATATATATACGTTCTACCTACCTCCGTTGACTTGCATTTATCACCCTGTACTTTGTACGAGAGTTCATCATTTCAGTTTGTCATTACTTCGGTAGAGCAACTGTAAAAGTTGAGAAAAGAAATACAATAAAATTACACCGGATCAAGATGCACAGAAGGGGAGAATAGTTAATCCAGGATTTTCATAATCTGAAAGAGGACAAGGAGTAAATGCATCTGTGCCATTGTGAACCATATTACCGAAAGTAATTACTTCGTTACGATGTTTTCTTCACCTAAAGTTTATTAGTTTAACTACGGAACCTGTAATAAAAAATAATATAATTTTCTTGTATCTCTGACTCTCAACGACTGTGTATCACAGGTACGACGAAACGAACCATTGTGGCTTACACTCACCCACCCTCTGATGGGCAGACGGATATTTTGTAGTGACTAAATACATAACACAAATTGGCAAATACCAAAGGAGGCTTGCATCAGTGTTAAGAGTTTGTCAATAATCAGTACATCAAAAGTGGCGGTGTAACTACCCGAATTAGTAAAAGTGATCAGTATGTTGGACCAACAGATTCTTGTTTATAGTGAAACATCGTGTATACTAGTCTTAAGTCTTAAGCTCAAAGTTCTTTTGTGATTGCTATGAAGTTTGATAGTTCTGATGTGAATTATAGGGAAGATAATATCAGTACTATTGTGTTGTTCTGAGGAGATTGTACCATGCGATTTGTTGTCTTTTCAATTTCCTTTACTTATATGCTTGTTGTTTACCTTAATTTTCCTTATGATGAAGTTTAATTTCAGCTATCCTATTGAGTTTTATGAATAAAAGGGATTTAAGGTCAACTAATGTCTTAACATTTGAACTAGTCAAGCAGATTAAGTGAATATGTCGATCTGAAGTGGAGATGAAGAAAGGGAGGGGCAGAAAAAGAGGATGAATAAGGAGGAGATCAATAGTTTTCTTTCAGATTTTATTTCCCATTTCAAATGTATTCCTCCGCTTAATTTAGTTGACTGTTATTCTTGTTTGTTTAGAGTACTGGCTAATGCAATGTAATCCACTGAAGCGGAATTACTTCTATACTCTTATATTGATTATAGTCTCTATCTTGTACGCTGTATATAAACTTGTTTTCAAATGTGGTTCATATGCATTTGTTCCGTTATCGGTCTCAGTTCTTTTCGGCTGCAGCTAATGAATGTGTTTCTTCTGAGAAATTATTTTCAGCTTGTTCAGTCTTTTTTTCTTCTGTAATTTTCATCTTCTGCGTTTAAAAATATCACTTCTTACAATTTGCTCACTTCTACTGTGGTGAAAAGTTTGTTACTTCTATTACGCATCTTGATAGCAAAGCCATCCGTTATATATATTCTGCCATGTTATGCAACTTTTTATCAAGATTTATTGATGTTTCATTTATCCATTCATCCAATGTGGAGTGGATATCGAAATAATTGAGCGTATTTCCGGGAAGTCGCTAGTATCCTATAGTAATAATAATAATAATAGTAATAATCGGTTCGATCGGTTGTGATGAAGTCAGTCAGTCAGACAAACAGTTTGATCCGGTCTCAATTACTTACTTTTTTTGTTATGTTTACACACCCAGAAATTCGATATCCTGCATAATGCGTGTATTTATCAGTAGTTCTCCTATCAAGTTTCGATTCTCAGCAGCATATTCACTTTTTTGTGGGGGGGTGGTGGTGGGGTGAGGGCAAGATTTAATCTCCATGCTGCTTTCCTTTGTTTATTTTATAAAATAATCTTAGTCGTGTGTGTATGTGTATGTGTGGTTTATAACTCCCTTTTTTTACTTGTAGCTGCCGTCGATCGCTTATAGACTACTGTGTAGCAAGAGCTAATCTATGTACATATGTAAACGTCTATTACCGACCGACCTATTGTCAGTTTTGCCCCTTACTCGTGATCTAATAACGCCTACGCTTGAATGAGTGTGGCTTTCCAGCCAATGCATACAGATATATACGTAAAGAAGAAATGTGATGTGTTGACGTTTAAAAAGTGTTTATGTAGTTCATGTTTACTTATATAAAGTTGATTTTGATCGTTTTCTTATTGTATAGTTGACCGGAATACATAAACTGTTTGTTAATATTTAGGTCTGCTTAATGTTTTTATTTTTTTAAAATCCGTCCATTTTGTTCTTTCTATCCGTATAGGTGATGTGTTTGATAAACTTGAAGAAGCCGATGATCAAGGTTGGTGTAAAGGACGTAAAGATGGTCGAGCTGGTTTATATCCTGCCAATTATGTTGAAGTGATACATAAAGAAGACCCTCAATCTTTCTGAAGAAAAAACTATTCAAAATTAATTCTTTCTATGCCCTTCTTTTTTATCTCTTTATTTACGTCATTTTGTTTTCTTTTCATTTTCAAGTATCTTTGTTGCAATTCACAGTATATGCTCTTTATATTACTATACTACTGTTTATTCCAGCCATACTAATTAATTGGAAGACACAGTAATTCTAAAGCACCGGGATTTTTCTCTTTCTTTATCTTTTTAACGTACATTTTTATGCTGCATAATCATCACATGAATGCTAAATTCTTCTTCTCTACTGAAATTTAAAGTAAGTGAGATGAATTATGTCACATGAAATTATTTCTTATTATGTGTAAAATCCCCTTTTTCTTTTGCGGTTTGTTTCTTTTGCTTCCCGAGGGGTTGAGTAACACCCGTGTCCTGTTGTTCTGTTGAATATCACTTTCTTGTTTGTCTGCGTGTTTCTTGTTCAAAAAAGAACACATTAAAAAAGCTCTTTGTTTTGTTTATTTCTTGCTTATTCATTTCTAATGAAACAGATGGAATACAGAAGAAGAAGAAACGGACCTTATATTTCTGTAATATTGTAGAATATTGTTGTTTTACCACCAAGCTTCTTATTAGTTCACTTCACTTCACTTCATCCTACTTCGCTTTCTTCTGAATGGTGATGATTATTTACCACTTTCATAATGGTATCTTCTCTTCTTATCCTACTTCTTCTTCTTCTTTTGTCACTTAACTTCATTGTGTTATTCATTCATTTAATGCATTTTCATGTGTTGTATCAGACAGACACAATAGAGACATTACAGTCTAGTTCTTCTATTCTTTGCCAATTATCGGAGGAGGAAATAAAAAAAAACAACCAAGCAATAATATATACATATATAAGAAGAAACAAAAAGAATTTCTATACATTTGGTTAACTGATCTTGATTAACGCCTAGTTTATTCATCATTTGATGCCTACTTATGCAATAGAGAGGTAGGAGTTCTCATTAAATGTGTATATTAAAAAAAAAGAAAAAATTGTTTCCACTATGAATTCATCTCTCTATCTCTGATCATTTTTAATTTCATTTCATTCTTTTGCGTTTGTACCTGTGTACTTGTGTTTGCGTGTGTGCATGGCGGAATTCCAAACCCACTTTCTTATGTAACGTTACTTTCTCTTCCGCAGAGAGAGATGTATTTAAGCAAGCTCTTTTCTTTTATGTTTTGCTGCTTAAATCTTATATATATATATTTCATTTATTTGAACACTCTGCGAATATACATATTTATGAAAATACACATACGTCTTTAACATGTAATTAATATTGTTCTTAACTCGATTTGTTCTTGATTTGAAAATAGAAGAATCGTGTTGATAATGTTGAAAACCACTGACTGACTGACTGGTGGGATAGTAGTAAAGCACCACTGTAATATAATTGTAACCGTAAATTCTTAAATATTCCTTAAACTTTTCATTTAGTATAGGTTTCCTTCATTATGATAAACACTTTTTTGTATTTCCCAGTGAATGAAAAACAAAACGACATTGTTGTTGTTTTTACTGGCGTTTCGCTATTTAATGCTAACAGCTTTATCAAAGTATTATTAAACCAATTGGCCAACTTGACAACGCAAAAATGACCCCATGCTGAGAAACGATGATTAAGTTGTTATATATATAAGCTGAGATTTTGTAAATTCTGGTTTAATAATACTTTCATAAAGCTATTAGCAGCATTAACTAGCGAAACGTTAGTAAAAACAACAATATCGTTTTGTTTTTCATTCATTGGGAAAAACAAAAAGCCTTTATTATAATGAATATCATATACCCAATGCCCAAGTTTTTTCAAACTGTTAAAAGTGATCTTGGTTCGGCCATATATAGTATAGGTTTCAGGCAAGCTGTTTAAAGATATTTCTTCGTATCTTTGACTGTCTGCAATGAGATCAGTCAACAAAGGCATCTTTATAAATATCAACAACATTTCGACTGATTAAAATTTTCAAAAGAATGGTTATTGAACAAAGAGTACTCTTTTCGATAACTTCATCATCAGGCTCTACAGTTATATATACATAATAGTAGTGAATGAGTTGGCGCTTTGAACAAGATTAATGTTTCAATAACCGCGAATCAATAATATCAATAGATTACAGTTGAACAGCATCAACATAACAATAAACTGAATGTCAGAAAAATTAGTAAAGATAATAATACAAATTTATGAATTTCTAGTCTCTACTGAAGGCCAGGGCACTAGTAGTGGCTGGACTTGCTTCTTTTGCACACAAAGCACTGGTTCTTCCATGCGAATTGCGATAGCCTCCGCTGTTTGAAGCATGCGGTACTTCGATGTTTTTGGCAATTTATTTAGCACCCGGTAGATGATAGAGAAGGATTCTTCAATGCTGGCTTTGTGGCCGGTTTGAACCAGATGGTCTAATATCGAACTGTTGATGGTTCTTGAGCACGAAAAATCAAGTTCCTAGAGCAACGGCCTGTATAACTTGCTCCACAGGCGCAGTTGTATTGGTAAATACAATTAGAAGTGGCTAGTCTAGGTACTTCATCTTTCAGCCGAGGAACCACCATCGTCGTGTAGAGAATAAGACGTGTAGTTTGCCAACATTAAAAGTTCTTTGAACTGATTTTCTTAATTTCTTTATAATTATTTGGTATTGCCCTTGAATTGCAGTCGTATAAATAAAGGCTTCTTGTTTTCGGATAGTGATTAGTCCTTTTCCGCTTTCTTTGTCATGTGTTTCTTGATAAATTTGTCCTGATAGCTATTTTCGATCAAAGTATCATATGCAATGCCTTATTCATCTTCAATTACTTCTTCTGAGCGTATAGCTCTAACTCTGTGGCTGAGGGTCTTTACTAAATTCAGCTTTCCAACTTCTGTCTCATGCATAGTGGTACTATATTTCATGGTTTCGTCAATGTCTCTCAGTTGTCTACACTTCTATCTACAAAATATCTTGTCATTGATAAAATTATATTCAGATTATAAGAAAATAAGTAAACAGCGCAAAAAAATTTTCTCTTCAACGATTCATCTTCATAATCTGTACAGCCATAATTATATTTAACAAAGAAACCATAAGACCAATCAGATACTGGTAAAGTGTATTACATAATGTAAGTTGTAATCTAGAAGGGCGGGATGACTAGTAGGGAATTAGAAAAAGGGAGCAGAAGCTGGGATGACATAATAAGTGTGAAAAATGACTGGTCAATATAATTGTGCAAAGTGGAGAAAGACTAGTGGAAAGATGATAAAATGTTTTTATAAAATCTGTATGCAAAATGCAATGTTATCAATAAACAGTAATAGGGATAATAAGGATAATGAGAATAATAATTATAGTAATAAACTTGCATAATAAAATGAAGCAAAGTTGTGGTAAGAGTATTAATCCGGTCAGGATAGGGTGAGTGAATGTGTGTCCGGTTTCAGAACCCTAACAGCAAATCTGTGATGCAGTCACATGGGAGGCGCTCTATGTCCGTAGTTGACAAGGTGTTCTAGGATAGAGCTAGGTTGTTACACGATGTGAGCAGTCGGGAAGTAATAACCACGCACACACTTCCAAAAGTTCACAAAGCTCTCCTAAAGCACAGTGAAATATTTATTTCCTGCTTCATTAATAAGCAATCAACGAGTAGATGTCAATAGCGAATGAAAGCAATATAATGGTCATTGTACTAAATGAGGAGATTGAGATTTGCTGATGGACATCTTGCATCTTTTAATATACAAAGTGATTTATTACAGACAAGTATTTATGATCCAAGTAGAGACTTGGGTTAACTTTTAGTTCATATAATAAAGTAGAGATCATCAAGTATTCGATCGGTAAATGTATCACAGAGTTAAGTCTTTTTGTCCTATTTAGATTGATTAATCTATCATGAAATGGATGAATAATTTACCATTTACTAAGTATTTGTTAATATGGCTTAAGACAGAGTATTATTAGTCTCCTATGCTGTGTATCGCTTAAAAGTTATTCATGCAGTATATATGAGGTAGTAGTATCGCAAGAGCCTATTGCTCAACAAATATGTAGGAGAAAGTGGAGATGGATCAGGCATACGTTGATCAGGTCGTCGAATGACATCGTGCGCAATGCAGGCCATCACTCGAGTGGGTCGTCCGAGGGTAAAATGGAGGAGGAGATGAGAGACTATGGGCAAACGTGGAATAACAATAATAGTATCGCAAGCAGATGAAGTATTCTTTTGAATTGCACTAGTTGCTGCTGACTACTGGCGTTAACGCTTAAATAAATGGATGCAATTTCCTGGTAAGATTATGAAAATTAAATCTGTTTTAGGGGATAGTCAGTTCACTTATCAATTACTACTGTATGTAGTATTCTAGTTGTATTCTCACATCAAATGTTTCAGCCATCAGATGCCTGTCCTATTATTAGTGATAATAATGGAAGTTAACAGATCATAACAAAAAGTAATGGATTACGTGGAAATCTATGTGTCCTAGAGAATAGTTATGCTGAAAATGTAATCCCTAGTCAGATATTCAAATTATACGTTTAGTCTTTTTTCCTACTTAACTTCCATTATCGGCTTTCAATGTCATCATTGTATTGAGGGTAATCTGTCAGCTGCAGTGATTGAATTGCAAGAGTATTTTTTCCTAAAATCTAATGACTGAGAGTAGCACATTCACATATAATTTATCAATACTAGATAGAGTCAAGTTGATATTAAAACAGTGCAATCGTAGATTTCTAATCCATATTATGATGAACACTATTTTATACTTATTGCTTTAATTCATTGCGAATGAGTTGCGTTTAACTAGTTAAGCTGTTGATCTGTGAATACCTGACTAAATGATGATTTAAACAGTAAATATAATCAATGATGGTAACTGGAAAGATGCTTGTTAGTTGTGAATATCAATCAGAATTAATGTCTGATTATAATAAGGACTTTTAAAGTGATAAGAATTTCAGACAAATAACTGAATTCCAGTCATTTTTAGTTGTTGAAAAATTTCAGGGTAATGATTTTTACTTTTAATGCTGAACAGTGATCAAATGTATTACGTGGTTAGAAATCCACATAGTTTTCTTCACACCATTAGTTTGTTTTCCAACCAACTAGCTGTATAAATAAAGTACTTGAGGGAGCACAGATAGTATTTGTGTGAAGCTGTTACTAGGTGAACATTCTTAGTCCCCATAGCATGCAAATGGTCTAAATTATCATTTAAACATGTTTGGCGCTTATGACCGAACCAATGAACACCTAGGAGCCTGATTGACCTTGATTACCAGACCTGTGGTGCACTTGAGAATCATAATGCGAAAGAATCAAATAGTGTACGAACCGGTTTTGGTCACAGGCAACCAAGAGGACGCAGCTCTACAACCTTGTCGACCAAACTTAATGTTTAAAGCCAGGGAAGTGATCTCTTAAGACAACCATCGGCCTCAGTCTTGGCATCTGGATAGCATCTTAGCCCTTACATAAGTCATGGGACAACAATCAATGGAGACATACACCAAAGTGATCCACCTCTGGCGGTTTCATGACATTAGCCTAGCTGTGAAAGACAGTACTCAAAATGTCTTGGTGCCTACTTTCTTTCTCTATGCCTGTTAAACCTGGCTTCTCCGAGCTGTAAATGCGTTATGACTCTGCAATCACTGTTTGCTTAGAGGAATTGCTAGCATCGTCATTTGAAAAATTCTAAAGTCCAGCTCCGTGTATCTCGGTACAGTGGAGATCGTCTTTCTTAAATGTTTTCATATTGGAACGCTGACTTTAGCTAACTGTACATGTGTTACGAGTGTCATCGCATAGATTTTCATACCATTCGCTGTTTCCTAGCTGTAGGACTGGATAGAATATGAGAAGGGGCGACCAACCTATGACGGGTCTCCGTGGAGTGAAGGATAGTGTCATGACTTTCTGGGTAGGATCCGAAAGATTAATCGAATCACTGCCTCAAGAAGTTATCAGATGTGGCTGGGAATCATTGGCCATGGAGAACATGCTGCGATTTCTCTTTCTTTACTTCCTGGAAGCAACATGAAGCAATTAACCATCTTTTGATTGATCTTCATAAGTAAGCTTATTTCCTTTCTGGATGTTGTCCCTCATTTTCTCTATTCCTTAATGTCTTTACATTGTTGGTTTGTTATTTGTGTCGCATATATTCTTGCCCATACTGTACCAAGCTTGTGTTTGAATAAAATATGTTGTGCAAAACTGTTGACTACTTTGTAGCTGAATTTTGTCTTCCACCTGCAAATATTAGGGAATCAGGGTTAACTA